TGCGTTTGGTAGATATGTAAACGTGTTTTTCGTTTTGGTACTGAGAACAGATAAGTTTCTAAGAGTGAAGAATAATGGTTATATAACTTAAGTGCCATTTCGGGTCTGGTTCATGTTGAATATACATCAGTTTTTTATTGTTAAGGGTCTGATATACAATTTCCGTGATGGTTTTCTAGCTATATTAGAAAATATGATAATATACAGGCTGGTCCATTTAACTAGAGACAAGCGAATATCTTGAAAACTCTTCATTTAACATAAAAATTATCCAAACAAAAGTTCTTCTGTATGAAGAAGGAAACTATATGGCGATAAATTTTTTTTAATTTAGAAAGAATTCTTGGAAAGCTAAAAACAAGAGTTCGGAACTGCTGATGCCGGCATTTCCAGAATATTACTTTCAAAGATAACTTCATTGGTTGAATTGTGTTAAAATGTAGCAGGTAAAACTAAATTAGCATAAAAGCTGCTTGGCAACAAATGCTGAATTCATTCCATCGTTTTGCACCAAGGGAAAGTGTTTAAACTATGTTATTAAATCATGGATACTCTAAGTGTGGCAAAAAAAGTCAATAGGCAAGAAATAAATTTTTGAAATAATCGACAATTTTTTCGAATTTTGCTATTTTAGTCAATTAAGTTTTAAAAATTCATTTCTTCGAATATAAATATGAAAATTTCCGAAAGTGTTAATAAAAGTGTCCTTTTTCCAATGAACCAACCCGTTTTGAAAAATAACTTTTAGTTTTTGAGAAAACAATATTTGAAGTTTTCATCGACGAATTTTCATCGATAACTTTCAAAATTCGCTATAAAATTAATTTCTTGAAGAATTCTTGTGGAAATATCACCAATTATGAATTAAAGTATACTCTTTTTAATGCAAAAAGCCGTTTTGAATAATCGCTTTAGTTTTTGAGAAATAAATTTTTGAAATAATCGAAAATTTTTTCGAATTATGCAATTTTCGCCGATTAAGTTTTAAAAATTCGTATTAAATCCATTTCTTGGAATATGAGTATGAAAATTTCCCAAAGTGTTAATAAAAGTGTCCTCTTTCCAATGAACCAACCCCTTTTAAAAAATAACTTTTAGTTTTTGAGAAAACAATATTTGAAGTTTTGATAAAATTTTCGATGTTGCAATTTTCATCGATAACTTTCAAAATTCGCTATAAAATTAGTTTCTTGAAAGATCATTGTGGAAATATCACCAATTATTAATTAAAGTATCCTCTTTTTAATGCAAAAAGCCGTTTTGAAAAATCACTTTTAGTTCTTGAGAAATAAATTTTTGAAATAATCGACAATTTTTTCGAATTTTGCAATTTTCGCCGATTAAGTTTTAAAAATTCGTATAAAATCCATTTCTTGGAATATGAGTATGAAAATTTCCCAAAGTGTTAATAAAAGTGTCCTCTTTCCAATGAACCAACCCGTTTTGAAAAATAACTTTTAGTTTTTGAGAAAACAATATTTGAAGTTTTGATAAAATTTTCGATGTTGCAATTTTCATCGATAACTTTCAAAATTCGCTATAAAATTAATTTCTTGAAGGATCCTTGTGGAAATATTACCAATTATGAATTAAAGTATCCTCTTTTTAATGCAAAAAGCCGTTTTGAATAATCGCTTTAGTTTTTGAGAAATAAATTTTTGAAATAATCGACAATTTTTTCGAATTATGAAATTTTCGCCGATTATGTTTTAAAAATTCGTATTAAATCCATTTCGTGGAATATCAGTATGAAAATTTCCCAAAGTGTTAATAAAAGTGTCCTCTTTTCAATGAACCAACCCGTTTCAAAAAATAACTTTTAGTTTTTGAGAAAACAATATTTGAAGTTTTGATAGAATCTTCGATGTTGCAATTTTCATCGATAACTTTCAAAATTCGCTATAAAATTAGTTTCTTGAAGGATCATTGTGGAAATATCACCAATTATTAATTAAAGTATCCTCTTTTTAATGCAAAAAGCCGTTTTGAAAAATCGCTTTTAGTTTTTGAGAAATATATTTTTGAAATAATCGACAATTATTATACAATTTTCGCCGAAGTTTTAAAAATTTGTATTAAATCCATTTCTTGGAATATGAGTATGAAAATTTCCCAAAGTGTTAATAACAGTGTCCTCTTTCCAATGAACCAACCCGTTTTAAAAAATAACTTTTAGTTTTTGAGAAAACAATATTTGAAGTTTTGATAAAATTTTCGATGTTGCAATTTTCATCAATAATTTTCAAAATTCGCTATAAAATTAATTTCTTGAAGGATCCTTGTGGAAATATCACCAATTATTAATTAAAGTATACCCTTTTTAATGCAAAAAGCCGTTTTGAAAAATCACTTTTAGTTTTTGAGAAATAAATTTTTGAAATAATCTTCAATTTTTTCGAATTATGCAAGTTTTAAAAATTCGTATTAAATCCATTTCTTGGAATATGATTATGAAAATTTCCCAAAGTGTTAATAAAAGTGTCCTTTTGTCAATAAATTAACCCATTTTAAATAATAACTATTAGTTTTTGAAAAATATATTTTTGAAATGATCGACAATTTGTTCGTATTTTTCAATATTCGCCGATTAAGGTTTAAAAATTCGTATAAAATCCATTTCTTGGAATATGAGTATGAAAACTTCCCAAAGTGTTAATAAAAGTGTCCTCTTTCCAACGAATTAACCCGTTTTGAAAAGTCATTTTTAGTTCTTGAGAAATAAATTTTTGAAATAATTGACAGTTTTTTGAAATTTTGCAATTTTCGCCGATTATGTTTCAAAAATTCGTATAAAATCCATTTCTTGGAATATGAGTATAAAAATTTCCCAAAGTGTTAATAAAAGTATCCTTTTTCTAATGAACCAACCCGTTTTAAAAAATAACTTTAGTTTTTGAGAACAACTTCATACAATATTTGAAGTTTTGATAAAATTTTCGATGGTGCAATTTTCATCGATAACTTGTAAAGTTGGTTATAATATTAATTTCTTGAAGGATCCTTGTGGAAATATCACCAATTATGAATTAAAGTATCCTCTTTTTAATGCAAAAAGCCGTTTTCAAAAATCACTTTCAGTTCTTAAGAAATAAATTTTTGAAATTATCAACAATTTATTCAATTTTCGACGATTAAGTTTTAAAAATTCGTATAAAATCCAGTTCTTGGAATATGAGTATAAAAATTTCCTAAAGTGTTAATAAAAGTGTCGCCTTTCCAATGAGCAAACCAGTTTTGAAAAATAACTTTTAGTTTTTAAGAAAACAATATTTGAAGTTTTGATAAAATTTTCGATCTTGTAATTTTCATCAATAACTTTCATAAATCGCTATAAAATTAATTTCTTGAAGGATCTTTGTGAAAATATCACCAATTATGAATTAAGGTATCCTCTTTTTAATGCAAAAAGCCGCTTTCAATAATCACTTTCAGTTCTTGAGAAATACATATTTGAAATGATCAACAATTTTTTAGAAATTTTCAATTTTCGCCGATTAAATTTTAAAAATTCGTATAAAATCCAGTTCTTAGAATATGAGTATGAAAATTTCCCAAACTGTTAATAAAAGTGTCCTCTTTCCAATGAACCAACCCATTTTGAAAAATAACTTTTAGTTTTTGAAAAAACAATATTTGAAATTTTCATAAAATTTTCGAAGTTATAATTTTCATCGATAACTTGCAAAATTCGCTATAAAATTAATTTCTTGAAGGATCCTTGTGGAAATATTACCAATTATTAGTTATAGTATCCTCTTTTTAATGCAAAAAGCCGTTTTGAAAAATCATAATAATTATTAATTTGATAATTTTCAAAATTCGATGATTCTTTGTAGAAAAATTTATAAAACATTGTGCGTGAAACTCTGAGATCAACTGTGACCGAATCACAATAATATTGTCTTAGTCTTTTGGAATTTAATTCTGTAGATAAATATATGCATTTGCTGGTAGATTATTCAAAAACTTTCTGAGACTGTCCTTTTTAGCCTTTGTTTTAGGAATTCTACCTTGTATCAAAACTTTATTCAGTATTTGGAGCCTTTTTCTTGAAACATTAAAAACTTCAATAATAAATGATCTACAAACTCATTGCATCTTCGTTCCTTGACATTTCATTACATAGTAGGTACCACTAATAGCACGGTTTCTTGTATGTACAGGACCTGGGCCTAGATTTCCTTTTCCTTTTAGGTTCTGATGTCTTCTTGACTTTCGCAATTTTATCATACAAACGTTTCCTGTTCTGGATTACATCCTCCATAGTTATTGAACAACACTTGACCTTTGACTTCGTGTTTTTGCATCTATGTTTGTTTTTGCATGTAGCTTTGAAGTTGATACTAAGAGGGTCATTGGTGAAAAATAAAATGAAAACATATGCTGAAACCAACAAAAAACACAATATTCGTACACAAAAAAAATAAGAGTACCAAAGGCACTTACTTTTTACGATAGGTCAAGGGATCTTTTCGTATTTTCTGTTTTACACCACTATTTAGGGCACGTACTACAAGGCAGGTTGGGGAGTTGAGGATCACACCGTAAATTCAGATATTCCTAGCAATATTTTGAGGGAAACCCTTGTTTAAAGAATTACCGAAGAATGCAATTCAAGGAAAACAGCTATTACATCGGAAATACTTAGAATTTCGCTTTAATATTTAGTGTTACTTATATTTTCATCAGTTTAACGATGTAAATAATTAAAAAGTTCATCAACATCATGATTATCATTTCTTATTCAACACTTTTCCTTTCAAGGAAAATATTTTATTGTTTACTTATTTTTTATTAATAGAATAGTAACACTTCAATGACGAATTTGACTTTTTTAAATAAATTTTACGACAAAATTCTCTTTACCCGTTTTTATTTAAATTAAATAATAGCTAGTAACCTTCTCTAAAACAATATCTAACAACGTGATCATGCATAGTAAACATCGTATCCTTACTATATAAATAAATCACACGAATTAAGCAGCATCACAAACTTAAGAATCGTGTGAAAGACATGGTTGCAAAAGTGTACTTTATTTTATTGTTAACAGTTATCATTATTAATGGAAAACCTGCACCCTTTTTCTTCGGCGGTGGACTACCCGAAGGTTTAGTAAGTACCATTTTGATTTTAATTGTTTTTGTGATGTACACATTATTTCTTTTTTAGGCCACACCATCTCTTGCATTTTGTTTGAGTTGCATCAAAGCATTTAAAATTTTTAATCCTCAATGTCTTTTGTGTTTATTACCTCCAGCAACGACAACTATGCCTGAGACAACTACGATGAGTACTACTACTACAACGGCAATGATGAATATGTCGATGATGATGATGATGCCTGATATGATGATGATGATGCCTCCCAATATGATGATGTAGTACCTAATTATACTTTAATATGTATAGTATAAAAGGTGGAAGATTTGTATTTTATATTTTTATTTTTTTAAATTTATTAATTATTAATAATTGGACCGCGTTATGCATCACTTAACTAAGCAACAAATAAATAATGTTGAGAAAAACGGGATTTTCGTTTTCATCTCTCTAAAAATATAAGACTTCTTAGAATAGACAGGCTCAAACTATTGAAAATTGTTTGGTGCCTGTCCATTTTTATCACAGAACACTGATGACAGCTATCACAAGCACAGAAGCCGCTTGGTCACTCGTTACGTTTTACGATTATACAGGGTGTTTCTATAAGTCGTAGCATAAATTTAATCACTAAAACTAATAGAGACAAAATCTCTCATCTTATCCATTTTACAAACAAGTTTCTTAATATTTCCTTTTGTTTTGTTAAAAAAGATCACATATCAAAGTCGAAATCTGATTATTAGTTACTAATTTACAAAATTAAAGTTTAAAAAGTNCATGTTTCTGTAAGTCGTGGCATAAATTTAATCACTAAAACTAGAGACAAAATGACGACGATTTGTGTAAAAAATTTTGAAGAAAACAATCTAGAGTTTGATTTTGTAGTTTTAAACTGATTTTTATTTTATAATAGGATTTAAGTCTAACCAGTTTCGGCCCTTGGTCATCTTCAGAGACTTTACAAATAGATTAACATCTCTCATCTTATCCATTTTACAAACAAGTTTCTTAATATTTCTTTTTGTTTTGTTAAAAAAGATCAAAGTCGAAATCAGATTATTAGTTACTAATTTACAAAATTAAAGTTTAAAAAGTTGTAAAATTTAAGAACGCTCTTTTTTAACAAAACAAAAAGAAATATTAAGAAACTTAGGAAAATTCAAGAATCATTTTGTGGCTTAAAAATCGACGATTTTTTTTAATCAAAGTGAAAGGACCCAAAAAACACGTTAAAAATAAAAAGAAAGTGCGGAAAAGTGACTAACACTAGATTAACTTCTATTATATGATAACTAACTTCAAGTTTAAAATGTCAACCTCAATTTTGACTTAGGCCCGTTACTACCAAACCAATGCTATCTGTCAGTTAAGCTATCTATAAGATACAATTTATCTCGTAGATAACAGGGTCGTGCGTACTACCACCTCCATTTATCTCATCGTTAAGAAATCCTTGAGATAACCAAGGAATCTAGGGATTTTTTGATCTATTATGTTAAATTGACAGCTCTATGTGGTTAAAAGACCTACTATTAGGAATTTTGACGATATTCTAACCTGTTCTAACCTTAAAATTAAAATTTGGAAATGGAGACTGAGAAAAGGCGACGAACCACCAGCAGGCAATTTCACCAAAGAAGAATGCGAACATCTTGAATTTGTTATCAAACATAAAACGTAATGGAAAACAAAAAAAGTGATGCAGTTACATGGCAAGGAAAGCAACAAGTATGTATATCTCGAATTATTCAAATCATTGTATGGCACAACTAACATGATAAACGACTGAACATGCCAATTGTACACTCATTCCTGCAAAATCTGCTATGAATAGCAACATGTTACTTATTGCATAAAACCGAAAAGTCAGCAACAACCGATTTGAAGGAGGTACAGTCGTGTTGTGGCGGTCCTGCTTCAAGGTTAATATATTAAAGGTTGTCTAAGTTCCTATGCTACAATACTTTGATTTTAGCTTGTGGGCGAGGGGCAAGAGCAGGAGTTTTTCGTGACGTAAGCGATCACGGATTGCGCACGCAACCTCATGGCCATGTGGTGCTCCATGCATTTGTTTAATTTGAATTGCTTGGCGGTATTATTTTCCACATGTGACGTAATGCGCTGTATGGTTGCGTACGAACCTAGACAAGCTTTTATATATAAACCTTGGTCCTGCTTAGCCAGCGGCATGTCGGATCTCACAACAGCGCTTGACCTTGACTGCGCATTACCCGTGAACACGGCTGTACAGCATTATTACTAAAATTTTGATGAATTTTACATTAAATAATAGGAATCAACAAATTATTTACGTCATGGATGGAGGTTTTATTACATCTTCTATTTGATTCAAAAGATGATGAAAACTTTTTTTCGAGAGACGAAATCTCGTCATAAATTCAACATCTGAATAAATATTTAAATGGTCAACTCTACTCCTTATTATCCTTTCGCTTCTTACAGGAAATAATTCATTGATTTCTTCAAAAATTTGTTCTTCATCTTCAATGTCGAAGAAATTATCCATGATGATTTTATCTAATGTTAATTATTAATAGTTTTTTATTTAAGTTTATATTACTTTTCTTATTTTAACTGAAATAGTAAAACGCTCGAATTTTATACGTCAGTATAAATCCTATTTGAGGTTAGGTATCCTCAGTTATCCCTTAGATAGCAACTTATCCGACACCCAATCCACGGGTTACAGATCTTTCAAAAGTTATCTCTTGGATAGCGGTATCTATAAGATAAATACAGTGGTAGTAACCAATTTTTAAGCTATCCGATAGATAACGCTATCAGAGAGTTTAACTATGAGTGGTAGTAGTGGGCCTTATTTGTAATTGTCATTAAAAAAATGCTATTTAAAAATTATCATTAAAAATGCATTAAAATTGCTATCTTCATTGTTGCTAACTTAGGGCTTAATGTTTTTTATTCTAACTTTTTTGTTTTTTGAGATAAGTGCGTCATCTTTGAACTCACTTTAAAGGTTTTTTTAATGAAGATGACAAATATGTCAAAATTGACGTTTCAAACCGGAAGTGATTGTATCTCCATTAATATTAAAGCTAAATATGTCGAGTTTGGACTCATTTTAAAGGATTTTTTATGAAGTTGACAAATATGTCATGTATAAGTTGAAAGTTCGAACTTTTTGGTTTTTTGAGATAAATGCGTCAAGTTTGGATACACTTTAAAGGTTATTTTAGGAAGATTACGAATATAATAATAAAATTAAACTTGACTTTGACAACTGAAAGTTTTTATCACGACTAAACCCGAATGTTTTTACTTTTTGTTCTAGTTTTAGTTCAATAAAAATATACAACATAGTAATATCTTATGCTAACCTACCGCTGCCACTAGAACAAACACTAGGCCGAGAACTAGAAACATTCGGATTTAGTCCCACGTCTCCCAAGACGGCTAAACCCGAATGATTTTAGTTCTAGGTCTTGTGTTAGTTCTAGTTTTAGTGCAATAAAAATATGCAACATAGTGATATCTTATGCTAACTATCTTAACTACCTACCGCTGCCGTTTGTAAAATGGATAAGATGAGAAATGTTAATCTACTTGTAGAGTCTCTGAAGATGACCAAGGAACGAAACTAGTTACTTAAATTCTGTATAAAATAAAAGTCATAAACTTTTAATTTTATACTAACATCTAGAAAACGACACAGGCTTAAAATTGGCGCTTAGCTTTATCCTTTAAAACAAATAGTATTTTGGATCTTTCGGTATTCTGCATTTTTTCTAAAATAAGTTACACCTTTACCTATCAGACAGCATGAAAATCTCTAAAAACGATAAAATGTCGCTTAATCAAGTGAAGTATAACGCGGTCCAATTACACTGGTCTACAGTGGTTTTGTTGCCATAGATATAAGATTGATTTTGGATATATTTATGCTCATAATTCATGAAACTATCAATGATTTTATAAGATTTGTTCTCGTTTTTATTTAATCTTTATTTTCATTTTACATTACAAAAATCGGAAAACAAGAAACAGAAATATTTATAATGTCAGTTTTGTTTTGAAAAATTAGGATACATCGAAGTAAGTAAAGAGGAAAACCAGTTATGAACTTTTCTTTTATAATTTTTCAGGGGACAATCTCTTGTTAAAGACCAGCAGTAATCTGCCATCATGTGACAATCCCATCGACCCTGATACCTTTCCTCCATAAATGTATGAATCAGTGCTGACTACACGTGCTTTTACTGTCAAATCCCGATTGGGTAATTTTTCGGTATTTTTTGGTACTTTTAATTTTGGTTTTTTGACTTACACGGTGCTAGTGAGTGTGCTGATTAACGGGTTTAATTCGTTATTCATCAGTATTAAGGTACTTTCATTTTAAAAAGATCTATCTTTCTGTTCCGACGCGAGTTTTCTTCGTGACCAGTTTTTTGCGCCTNGGAAAATAATCAATACTAATAAAGCCTCTCAAAGAGTCAACGAAATGGATAGTAATTTAGATGCTGAACAACTTAATGATTTCTTTTTGAATATCCCTTGTAATTTAGCTAAAAATATAAGTGGTGGTGTTGATCCTTTGTCATTATTTATTGAACATGTTAATGGTGCTAATAATAAATATTTTACATTTCAACCTTTCTCTCAAGTGGAGGTCCGGGACTCCTTCGATGCCCTCAAATCTGGAGAAACTGTTGATTTCTTTGGTCTAAATTCAATAATGTTAAAAAAAGTTAAAAATTGTCTGATTCCCGTATTGACTGCTTTGTTTAACCAGTGTCTATCCGCTGGCTACTTTCTTGACGAATTTAAGTTTATGAATCAGTGCTGACTACATGTGCTTTTACTGTCGAATCCCGATTGGGTAATTTTTCGGTGTTTTTTTGGTACTTTTAATTTTGGTTCTCTGACTTACACGGTGCTAGTGAGTGTGCTGATTAACGGGTTTAATTCGTTATTCATCAGTATTGAGGTACTTTCATTTTAAAAGGATCTATCTTTCTGTTCCGACCCGAGTTTTCTTCGTGACCAGTTTTTTGCGCCTCGCCGTACTTGCTCTCAGGCTTAATTTAGAGCGTAATGTCTCGTGAATGCCGCTCTTGCGGCGCGCGTACTACTACTAAACAACCTGGTTTGGAGTGCTCTGGAGAGTGCGGAGGTTCTTATCATGCGGTTTGCGTCAATATTTCTAAATCGAACTTGTCTCAATATAAAACCGAGGGAGTATTTTGGAAGTGTCCCAGCTGTAGGGGCGCTAATAATAGTTCGGTGGTTATTGAGGATGACTCTGCGACCTCTTCTTCGACTCCGTCTGTGATTGATTTGCATCGCATTTTACAGTCTATCCAAGCGGATATTAAGGTCATGAACTCCAAATACGATGATCTGTTGAAG